AAAGAGAGAGAGAGAGAGATGTGGTTTTTCTATAAAATGGAGTACTACTCAGCCATAAAGAATGAGAAATTAGATTCATTCATAGGCAAATGGATACATATTGAGGATATACTCCTCAATTAAATAAATAAGTCACACATGTGTAAATACCGAATAGTTTCTCTGGTGTGAAAAACTATAATAGTACACAAGATCCTAATGAGGTAATTAACAATGTGAAATAGGAAGAAAAGGGCTAAAGGTGTAGGGAAAGTGGGAAGGGTAGGGGAAAGGGAATAAGGGAAAAGAAAAAAATATTAGAAAATGGAAATAAGTGTTTGTAAATGGGAAGGGAGGAGAGGGTGAAGGGAGGGCAGGGACAAGGGGAAAAAATGAGAACCAAGACCTGTCATGTAGAGGTACAAGATCCCAATGATGAATGTAACTGTACTGTATCCCTAAAATGTACCAATAAACTCAATGAGGAAAAAAAAAAGAGATGCAAATGAAAATAACACCAAGATACCACATAACCCTAGAAAGAATGGCTGCTATCAAGAAATCACACAATAACAAATGTTGGCGGGGCTGTGGGGAGAAAGGAACCCTTCTCCGTTATTGGTGGGAGTGCAGACTGATGCAACCACTGTGGAAATCAAGATGGAGATACCTCAAAGAACTAGAATTAGAGATCCCATTTGATCCAGCTGTCCCTCTGCTGGGTATCTTTCCAAAAGAATAGAAAGAATCATACCACAGAGATATATGTGCACCTATGTTTATAGCAGCACAGTTTGTATAGATAAAACTTGGAAACAACCCAAATGCCCATCAACTGGAGACTGGATAAAGATGATGTAATATTTCTATAAAGTGCATTCCTACTCAGCCAGAAAGAATGAGAAATTAGGGACATTTTTAGCTAAATGGATGCACGTTGAGGCAATACTCTTAAGTAAAGTAGGACATACTTGAGTAAATACCAAATAGTTTCTCTGGTGTGAAAAACTAAAAGTGTAAATAAGGTTTAAACAATATAATTGATAGTGTGAAATAGGAAGAAATGGCTAAAGGGGAAGTGGGAAGGGGAGGGAAAAGGAAATAAGGGAAAAGAAAAATGTGAAATAAGGAAAAAAATAGAACCAAGTCTTTGTAATTAGCAAAGGGTGAAGCGGATAAAGGGAGGGCAGCGGTATGGGGAAAAAACAAGAACTAAGACATATCAGGTAAAGGTACAAGATCCCAGTGATAAATGTAACTGTATTGTTTTCTTTGAATGTACCAATAAACTTAATGGGAAAGAAATAAAAATAAAATAAAATCTTTCCACTACTTTCTGTCTCTGTGTTTACTACATTAACTCGGTCCTCATTAATCCTATCTGTTTTTATCGCTTCTAGTTTATCTATCTTCTACCTTACCAACAGAATGATCTTTCAAAACACAAATCTCATTATGTTACTATCTTGCTTAAAACCCTTCAGTGATTCTTAATCACAGGATTAAATATTTTTCTAGCTGTAGTAATGACTCTTCCTCCCTTTGGGAGGGAAAAAAAACAAATAATACATGGAAGTGTAGTACAGTAGGATGCAAAGCTGCCCTAGCCAAAGTTGGGGTGGGGAAGGATCCATTTTATTCCCTCACATGGAGGCCCCAAAGCCTTTCCCTGGACCCCTGTACAGGCAGAAGGAAATGCCTATTACATAGCTGGTGTGGCCTTCAGGAGTGTCAGCAAGGTAGAACCATGCGCCTAAATGGTGCAGAAGGCAAAAGCAGAGACATGCTCACCCAGAGAACATAGAGAGAGAAGGGTCCTACCCAGAGAAATGGCCCCAGGATTGATGCCATGCCAACAAATCATGTAACATTTCATAAAGCAATGTTTCTCTTTCACCTTTCAAACTCAAGAATATGCCAATCTTGTTCATCTTCCTACCTCAGATGTTGGAGAACAAAGTCAGGATGGTTGTAGACCAAAATTCAGCCAATATCAAACACTAAGATAGCTTCTAGTTGTTTGACTTGTCCTTATCTGTACATTTTAATTCTTTTCTTTTGTTTGTTACCCACTGTACTGGGAATTGACCCTCATACTGAACACTGTCCTCACAAGGTCTTGCTAAAATTGTCTAAGCTACCACCAAATTTACTATCCTCTTGCCTCAGCCTCCCAAATATTCCTGGCATTGCAGGAATATGCCACCTTGCTTAGCTACAATTTCATTTTTCTAACTGCTTTTTTAAAAAAATAAAAAATTTTCTTTAATAACCCTGGGGTTAGAGTCAGGCTGCCCTTACCCCTCATTTTTACAAGACTTTTTAATTTAGAAATCCTGAATTAACCAACATTTCATGTGTTTCCATTTCTTATCAAGGGAGTTTTCAGTTAAGTGAGCTCAAGAATAGACTTTCAAACAGAAATATAATAACTGATTTGTTAATTACTCAAACTATTCTCCCTGCTCTTGATACCAATCTTTATGTATTCTTTACTTTGGTTTAAGAATTCATTCTTTTTGTTGTTTTATGAAAACTAAAATGCTATTTAGATGCAGTTTACATTCTTCTTATGGAATATGGCTTTCTTAATGAGGAAAATGTTAATGACAACTCGTTAGTGAATATTTTTAACAAGCATAGCAGCTACCAGTTTGATGCAAGAGATGAATAAGTTGTGCATTTCAGCAATATTTCCTTATTGACAGTGACATACCATGCATGATAAAGGAGAGCTCCAAATAGACCAAACTATTTAACTCTACTTGCTTTTATCTCTTCTCATTTCAAAAGGGATTGAGGAGCACTTGTCTTGTGTCTTATGTGGGCTCCAGGCACGCAGATCCATCAGGTCTTTCTCTCTGACTCTGACCACTCCACCTCCCACCTTTTGGCTACTTAGACCTTGTCTCTGTCATCACTGTAGATTTTTCTGCTTTTGCATTACAGCCTGCCTTCATCACCTCTGGAGCTGACCTGTTTCTAGTCACCATTCTTTGCTGTCAGACAGTATGGCAGATTCGGCTTTCCCTGACACGGGCAGCTCAGTCATGGTGCCACAGAATATGGATGAGGGAATATGCCCTTTCCTGGCTTTTCCAGTGCCATCTCCTAGAGATCCAGCACCACCCCTGATACATACACTTCCTACTGAGACTTCTTAAAAACTCAGCACCCGACCGGGGATTTAGCTCAGTGGTTCTGCTGCCTGCCTCTCAAGCACAAGGACCCGAGTTTGATCCCCAGTACCAATGAGGAGCTGAAAATATGTACCAGTTGTCTGGGGTGTCAAACTGATGCTGATTCTCTTCTAATGCTTTTAAATATAATGCTTTTAAATTAAGAGGAGCAGAAACAAAGTGATTTAGGAAAATCATAATTTTATCCTTACCAATTTCAGTGACACTGTAACATGCTTAAGAAAATTGACTGTCAGATTTGATCAATATTGTTAAAGTGAACAATGATATTTCCAGAATAGCTTGAGTAAAATTCTCACTCAGCAAGAGCAGTTTTAATGACAAGAAAATCAAGGGACCGAGAGGAACAGCTGAACCTCAGTGTATTGGTGACCTCCTGCACTGCCTCTCTCTTATATTTTTCAGGTACAACATGTTTGATTGCTCTATTGTCAGATAAAGACCTCACTGTGGCCAATGTGGGTGACTCACGAGGAGTCCTGTGTGACAAAGACGGAAATGCCATTCCCTTATCTCATGATCACAAGCCTTACCAACTGAAGGAAAGAAAGAGGATAAAAAGAGCTGGTGAGTTTATGACCACCTCCAGTGACCATGTGCCATCTTGCTTGGTAGACAAGATTTATTTGGAAAGCTCCTAGAGTATACAATGTTCAGTTACAGAGGCTGCCACTGAGGTAGTAGCTGTGACATAGCTTTGTAACATCTGTCTATTCAAATAAGTAGCAGCTGAATTGGCTCCTTTTCACAGCCAAAGATTCCAAAGGCCAAAGGAGTCCTTTTCCAATTTAGAGACTAGTAAGATCTTTAGGCCACTGCTTCCTGCCCATTTTCACCTCTTGCCATGTCAAACTGCTAGTCACTTTGCATGTGAACCACATTTGATACCTCTGTGCCTTCTTTGCAAGTGCCTTTCCCACTGTTTGGTGGATGACAGTTTCTTGTCCCCTAGGACTCAGCTTCAGGGAGTCCTTTTGGAAGCCTCTCATGTCGTGGCATGGTAAAATATCCCGTCCGGACGGGTATTCCTTCTGTCTCTCCCTGCAGCCTGTGTGGACTTTTGGGTCATGCGCTCTCTTATCTGTCTTTTTGACTGTGAGCTCTTTGAAGGCAAGGATTTGGTCTTGTACATTTCCACACCTCTAGCACCTATATCGGAGACTGGTATAAGTAATTATTTTATAGCAAGGTACAGCAGGCCGTTATTCATTCATCATTCAGCATGCACTCATGAATTTTTGTTGTTGTTGTTGTTGTTGTTGTTGCTTGAGATATGGTCTCACTATGTAGTTGAGGCTGGCCTTGAACTCACTGTCGTTCAGCCTTGCCCCAAACTTACAGTGACCTTCCTGCTTCAGCCTTCCAAGTGCTTGGGATTACAGATGTTGCCACTCATTACAGGCACTCCCATGAAATTTGCATTCTGATATTGGCATGGGGTGGCATAGATAGACGTTAACAAAAAAATCAGTAAAAATAAATCAGATAGTATATTATAAGGTGATAACTGCTGTGCAGGGATGTAACGCAGTGATGGGAGGTGTCAGGAGTTGCAGTTTGAAGTTGAATGGTCTGTGTAGGCTTCACTAAGATGATATGTGTCCAGAGTCTCGAAGAGGGAGTATCACTTCATTATTGTATTTTCGCGGTTAGACTGGGAAGATTCCTTTATATCTGTGGAAGAGAAGAATTTCTTCATCCTCGAGACTGACAGTCTCATGACATGCCCAGCAACAGACCAGCTGCCAGGGGGAAGCGAGTGCTGTGTTCGTTCACACTAGTCTCTGACCAGCATGGGCTCCTGTGTCTGCATTAATCTGCAGATTGACTCTCAAACTCTGCAGGTCAGCAAAGGCAGTGAATCTAATGAATGCTTGACTTTTCACAGGAGGAAGCTGTACAATTGAGTCAAAAAGTATTGGATTTTATTACAGTCTCTTGCTTCAGTGACTGCTTAAGATGCAGAATGATTCTGAATGAAAGCTTTGGTCAGGTTTTCTGTTGATGAGATGGAACAATTATTTCACAGCATCTGTCAAGCTTTGATAAGCTCCAGGTGGTATGATTGAACTACTCTGGCTTCCTTTTTATGAAAGCATTGACAGTGCCCATAAGGGTCTGCTATGAGCCTGAATTTGAGATACAGGTAGCTCACTCTTGAGTAGATAGCACAAGCGGGAATGTGTATATGATACCCCTGGAAATGTCATCATCACATCCAGCAGCTCTTTGGAAAGGTTCCTGCCATTTTATCCTCTTTTCTTTTCTCTGTCATACCCCCTACCCGCTGACACACCATATAGTAATTCTTTCTAGAAACAAATTTGGACACCATCTTCAAGGAAGTTCATCTTATGTGCTTTGTCCTTTTATGTAATTTGGTCAAGGGTGTATTTTAGAGGAAGGCTTAAGGAACAGTGGTTAGTGTTACTATCTTTGTGTTTATTTCTCTGACCCCAGCCTTCGTTTCAGGACTTTTCTTTGTCTTTCCTGCCTAGCATGACAATAAGCTCCAGCCAGTTGGGGCCAAGTACTGTACATACTGGTCTTGCTATCTCCACTTCTTATGCTGTTTCCAAACACAATAGCATCAGTATCAGCTGTCATTCATTTGTTCTCACTCTGTGCCAGGAGCCAAGCCTAGTGCTTTATATGTATTTTCTCTTTATCTTATGAGGATGATAATGTTATCCTCATGTTACAGCCAACACACTGGAACCTCAGAGAAGCCTGTGTGTATAAGGAGCCACAGCTAGGGAGATGAGACCATAGTCGAAACCAGAACTGTTTGATTCCAGAGGTCAGGCTCCTGCCCACTAGACCATACTTGCTAGAATGTTTTATATTCCTGCCCACAGAAATCCTACCCATTACTCAAAGCCCAGCTTTAATGTTTGTTCCTTCCTAATCATCACACCCACAAATCATCCGTCCATTCCTCACTCTGCCATTGCCTTTAGCAAATACTAGTCTCTGCTGAAAGAACGACACTTGGTGCTTACAGCATTCAATATATTCAGCTTATTTATCCTGTCTAATTTCTAGAGAAGGGTTTGTATCTTGTATAACTTTATATCCTGAAATGCCTTCCACAGAATAGGTGCGTTATGTGATTTATATGGATTTCCTCACCTCCTTTATTTCTCTAAACAGCACAGTGGAGTAGATACTATCCCCATGTTGCAGCTAGGAAGACCAAGGATTAGAGAGAAAATATCTCATTCAAAGTCACCCAGAGCCAGAACTGAGACAAAAATAAAATGCAGTCAGTCTGACCTAAGGTTTTAGTGAGTGTACTAAAATGTATTTTCTCTTAATCCCAGTGCTTTTGGGAGGGTCTGTAAGGAGATATATTTAGGCACATCAAAAGGTAAGCTCAGACCAAGTGATAATTCCAGTGATGTCTCTGGTGCCTCCCCCTGCCTTTCCGCATTACTTGGCACTCTCCTCTGATTCTTACCCTAGTGCTCTGTGCTGTCATTTGCTGGCTGCCATGGCAGTGTTAAAACCGATGCCCTCTCCCTTATATATACCCTACCCTTAATGTCACAGATATATTTTGAAGGCTTCAGCGATGCCAAGGATGAGGGCATGAGCATCTGCTGGGAGGGTATCAAATCCCAAGCCATGCAGCAAGATACTGCCTGGTCCTGGCAGTGACAGTGGTGAAAGGGAGTGCCTGGCTTACATGGAGTAGGTCAGCCTTTTGTATATACACGCAGACTATACCGGGTATGGAGATATCAGCTGGGCAAGCTAATGGCTTCATTCTGTCTTTCCAGGTGGTTTCATCAGTTTCAATGGCTCATGGAGGGTCCAGGGAATCCTGGCCATGTCTCGATCCCTGGGGGATTATCCACTGAAAAATCTCAACGTGGTCATCCCAGACCCAGATATCCTTACCTTTGACCTGGACAAGCTCCAGCCTGAGTTCATGATTTTGGCATCAGATGGCCTGTGGGATGCTTTCAGCAATGAAGAAGCAGTTCGATTTATCAAGGAACGGTTGGATGAACCTCACTTTGGGGCCAAGAGCATAGTTTTACAGTCATTTTACAGAGGCTGCCCTGATAACATTACAGTCATGGTGGTGAAGTTCAGGAATAGCAGCAAAACAGAAGAGCAGTGAACCCTTCAGGGGTCTCAGCTGCCTTAGACTAAAAGACTTTTGACACACTGGTTTCTTTTCAATGTAGTGAAAGGTGTGGGAATTGTAATTAGGATCATCCGTTCCACACACAGAATCCCCTTCCTAGTGGCTCTAGGTCTGTATTCAGTGATGAACAGAGGATGACCCCTGGCCAATGTAGTTGAGAGCCTGGAAAATGGTTTCTTTGTGTTTTCCCATCTTTTTTGTCCGTGTCCAAAATAGATGACTAGGTAGTTCTAAAACCACCTATGAGAACGGCAAATGTGCCATAGATTCTCCTTCTTAAGACTCTTAGGATCCCTTACAGATTCTCCAGGCACTGGCCTCCGTGTCCTCTCCTCAGTGTGGATTGGGAGCCAGGGTACTCTGTCGCTTGTGAGTCAGGGGCTGATGAAGCAACACCCTCTGACGAGGGACAGAGAAGTGCTAGAATGCTGTATCCTCCCGAACCCATGTTCTATTCAGCAGCTTCCAGAAGCCGAAGTGGAACACTTTGTGATTTGCGGGCTGCTGTGGGAGACTGAGGGAAGCAGGGAAGAGGGGAGATCAGTGGCCGCTGCCTGCACAGCAGAAATAATCCTTCCCTCACCACCTTTCTTACTTACATAGGCTCTGGACCACCTTTGTGTGTTTCCCCCAGTTGGGCGTGACTTCACCTGTGCTGACACTTTACGGTATGTAAAGGGCAACTGTAACTTCAGCACCAGACACCACGATTTTTCCATCTTGTCTTACCAAGGTATTAAGGGAAATGAAAACAGCAGGTCACAATGTCATAATCCCTTCCATCTTTAAGGATAGAAAGAGGAAAACAGGAATGAACGTTTCACAGTGCCCCTTGGAAAGTGGGCTGTTTGCCCTGGGAAGGAAAGGAGTGAGCCTGTGAGACTACTACCCTGAAGTGAGCATCAGCCACCAATTTGTGTGCAGCTTCCCCTTCCCTAGCTTAGTAGCTTTCAAATGTCTTTTAAGAAGTTTTGAAAGAAGAAGCCCCTTAGAACTGCATGTGTGTTCCTTGAAACTAACATTATTCCCAGCCACCGCAGGTTGGAATTTGGTGGTGAACTCCTGGGACATGCTTCTCACCAGTGGACAGGCAGTGGCCTCTCCTCTTTGGTTGGAATCTCTGCCCACACTGAGTAGCCTTTGCCAGACAAATGCAAACTGCCCTGCATATTCTGAAGGAGGACCTGTACAGTGGCAGCAAGCTAGTTGGAAATTCAAGCAAGATCTCATATTGCTAAATGGGCTAAAGCTATTCTAGAGCCTGATTTGCTTGCTGCCCTTCCTTTCCTGGCACCAAAAATTATATCTTTTTTCTAGCCTCAGTATTTTATACGTTAATGTATAGAAAATTCTGGTTTATCTTTTTGCCTGACTGAGGTGACTCAAACAGCCAAACAAGATTTTTGTTGCATCCCTACTCCAGGTACAGTTTTGTGCTTCTTGAGTGGGCATTTGCCCTTTTACACCTCTGGAAAGCCTTTACACTGGCCACCTTTTCCCACAGTCCTATACCCTCTGTCTTCTTCAGCTGAAGAGCTTTCCTGAAGCAATTTCCAGGAGAGGACTCAGGAGAGGCGAATGAAAGTTTTAAATTGTGCTGCTGAGGACTGCAGTCTGTCTTGATTCTTCTAAGAACTTAACTCTTTGATGGCAATGAGAATTAATTATGGTTTCCTAAGAGATTTGCTTACTTTTGTATACTGTATTTTCCAATATTAGACTTAGAATCTTGGTTATGGATTTTTTTTAAGCCATGGAACGTTTTAGTACCAAATATTAGCCACTTTAGATTTAAGCATTTGCGTCTTGAGAGACACTAAACATTTGGATGTATCTAGTCCACGTGAGGATGGGAAGGGAACTGTGGGACACAGATGCCAGTTGTGATCAGTAATGGTGACTGCAGTCAGGCCAGGGGGCTGAGTTTGTTGTAGATTTAGGACATTCTGATGCTGGAGAATCACCACTGCCCACCTTCTAACTGAATGTCCAGCATTTTACCGTCCACAGTCCACTTTCCTTTTTATTTTTGCTTAACAAAAAAAGCATAATAATAAAGGAAAGATTGTTTTAATGCCACAATGTTTTATTGTTTAAAATAAAAACAGTAAATGCTTTGGTGAGGTTGAAAAAAGAAAAGCTACCAAATTAGGAAATCGGTGTTTATTTGCCAAGCAAAATTTCTAAACATAGTGCTGAGTGCAACACGTTACATAACTTTCTAATTGAGGTCCATAAGGCATCTTCTAACTTTTACTTTGTAGAATTAATTTATTTGTGATTTTAACCAAATTGAGTATATATCTTATATTTTTATCTCTAATATGGCTTATAGACTTTTTAAAGATAGCAGTTCTAGGCAAAATATTAGCAGTTTGATGAATAGTCACATAACAAATGAGAGTACTCTGTTTCCTTCCCAGTATTCTGGAAGTCTCCCCCTAGGCCTTTTCCAGCTATTGGATTCTTCCTACTCACTCCTGGGCTGCCCTGTGGGATGCTGGCTGCTCCCCTTCTCTAGAGGCTCGTGAATGTTGAATCTAGGTGACAGAGAAGTTGATTTCAGAGGTTTGCATGTGAAGCTTTCCTAAACAGCACTGCCAAAGCTTTGGAATTGTCACCAAGGCTGCCTGGACTCCCTAACTAGTCTGAGTTCAAATTGCCAATAGTCCCCATGGTGCCAAATTTTGGGATGGTTTTACAGTCTTTTAGAAAGGAGGCTGGGACTGTACGCTTACAAGTCCAGCAAGATGCCAAGCCCAGATCCATGTAATGCGCTGCTCTGCTGCTGCTCCACTGGCAATGTGTATTCTTGAAACAGAATAGGGATGGAGTGGGTAGGGGGCCCCAAAGGAAATTTTTCTTTCAATTCACTGTATTAGTAGTTCTTTAATAATAGGAATAAACTGTACTTATATAGAAAGTTCCAAAGCCAGATCTCAAGACCTACAATTTTTTTTATGTGACCAACTTGTCTGAGACAATTAAGTGAGTTGTTGTTCTAATACCATGTCTGTATGCGTATGTATTCATTACTAGAAACAGTGGCTACATTTGGTTCCTTGCTGTGTATTGAAGGTACTGGCCTCTTGAATCTTGTATATGTCAATAGTATTACACGGAGATTGTTATAGTAGAGGAACATATACAGGCTCTGTAATTTAAAATATACCTTATTTCATGCAAGTGTAATTTTGACATTTTGCACAAATGACAAACAGGATTACATGGCAGTGATGGCCTCCTGGGTTCAATCCTATATCTGAAGTGACTCTAGGAACAGATTACACTATTGGACTAGATCACTGGGGTATCTGGAAATGCATGAAGAATTTACTAAGGGAGTGATCACTTTTTCCTTTGCTAGGCATACCTTTCTTTTCCTGATTTTTTTTTCTCATTGAGTTTGTTGGTACATTTTAGGTATACAGTACAATTACATTCATCATTGGGATCTTCTACCTTTACATGACAGATCTTGGTTCTCATTGATTTTTTTTTTCTCCCTGAATTTTTGGCAGGTCTCTCTTGCAGCTGTGTCAATAGGAAGTTTACATTCAAAAGGGGAAATACTTCATTGTACATTTGAATTATAGGAATGCATAATTTATATAAAATTTTATTTTTTAATTTCAGAAAATTTTTCCTACTTTTGACCAATCATTTGACTGATCTTCCCTTAATAGTCTACCCCAAATTGCCTGAGCATGTCAAACCAGCATTCGTGATACAACCCTGGAAAAATGACAGGACATAGCCTATGCTGGGGCCTGTTTAATTGCATCTGAATAAATCGTTATCTAGACTTTTGAGCTAGACACCTGTATACTGCAGAAGTAGTAGAATTCTTGTTCCTGCACACATTCCAAAGATGCACTTCAAAAAAAAAGGGTTTCAGGGTCAGAGATATTTGGAAACATACTCTATTAGAAAGTATATATAAGCTCTTTGAAATCTCTATTCAGATGTCTTTCAGAGGAAGGGAAAACACACTACATAACTTGTTACCTCAGTGTTTTCCAAATTAATTTGACTACAGAAATTTTTGTGTAACACCTAGTAACATTCCAAGGAACTCCTGTTTGCATAGAACTCACTTTGGGAACTTCTGATATATTGAAATATTTCTGTTTTCTCATCCACGATGACTCTTAGTAGTAGCAGTGCAGTTTACAACACAGAAGCACTAGTTTCTTCAGTTAAATTGTTGACTTGCAATAGAGGCAGCTAAAAAACTAATAGAATTTAATATGACCACCAGTGGCCTCACATTGACAGCAAAAGTCTAACAGCTGGACCCTTGACTTGAAAACTCAGTTCTTTCGAGAGAGCTGGTTGTAACTCAGATTGGTCAATTGAAGGCTCAGGTTCCTCTACACAGCCTTCAAAGTCTGTCTCCTGTACACAGGCAGATCTCAGTGTCCTTAGAGAGACACTGGCCCAGGATTTCTCAACCCCTCACAGAAAAGGATGTTGTACTGTTCCTTCCAGAACTCTTTAAGGGTTGAATCTGTATCTGAGACTATCTGGAAGCACAAGCAGCCAGTATTTGGATCATAATACAATACTTTGGTTGTAAGTTAAAACTAAAATTCAAGTCATAACCCAAGTTGTTCATATGTCAGGCTGGTTGTAACCTGAGGGTCCACTGTACTTGAAACTGTACATAAATATCATCTCCCTCCATTTACGTGAATAAGAGGTACTTTGCCATAGCCAGACAGTCCTCATATCATTGCAAAAGCTTTCTATCTTTACTTTCTAGATTCTATCAAAATATTTTGTCTTTTAAGGGCCAGGGATTTAGCTCAGTGGTGCCACTGCCTGCCTCGAAAGCTCAAGGTCTCGAGTTCAATCCCCAAGACCAAAAAAAAATTTCTTTTAAAAATTCTATCTTTGCTTTCTAGATTCTATCAATATTTTGTTTCATCACTATGTGAGAATAAAAAATATAGATAAAATAATAAAACAGGAAAATGCATGGTTTTCTTGCACTTTTGAAATTTTAACTAGATTCTTTTAAGTTATCTGTTGTGTAATCATGGGAATGTAAACTACTAACCCTATTTACTTTCCTCTGTTCTCTCCATATTCAGTGAAATAATTTGAAATCAAGTAGAGTTTGTATGTCCTAAAATTCCAGTCCAATGTCATCCTACCTTTCTTATTTTGTTTATATAGTTAATTTTGACAAGTTATCTCTTGCCTAAAATGTAAGGCTTGACTCCAATAGTTCTCTAACAGTCACTGTCAGCCTGAGCAATTTGTTTGGAAAGCTATGACAGATAAACCTCCAGATAAAAGATGAAAAATTATGATAGAGAGTAAATTTAGAATAAAGACATTAATTTAAAGTTACATTCACATATTTAGAAATATGCCCACTTTCTGGACATTGTCTAAAATACCAAAAGCTAAAAATAAAGATCTCTTAGGCTAGGTGGCAGACTGCAAAGAGCGAAGGACAGTTGGTACTATGAGGCTTTCATTAGTTATACGTTTCTAAGTATGTTCTTAAAATGTAAAATTTTTGATGATTCTTAGTAATGCTGCTTTGTCTAATGTTAGTTCTTACCACTGTTAAGCTGCAAACTGTTAAGTTAGGGATTGATTATGAACACTTTTATGTGTTTAGTAATGACTACATCATCATGTATACAATCTTTTAATAAATCTAAGTTAAGGACTTTCGGGATAATGTAGTAACTATTCATTTTGACAAATCATCGTAGGTATTTTCCCCTATTCAAAACTGCACTAAAAAGCTGGCATGAAGCAAAGAAATAGATGATACGTAGAGATACTGTTCCATTTATTTTAGAAAAATCTAAAATCTGCCTTATTTAACCACAAAATAAATCCCACTTGACATTAATTTCAAAATTCATTTTAAAAACTTCCAAGGACCAGCATTCTCAAGCTCTTAAGCACAAAGAGATTGCTCTAAAAGCTCTGGTGGCACTTTGTGGGGTGGAAAGGGAAGCTGAGGGAAAAGAAAAATCTGTCTGGGTTACTCATTGACTGCGAGAGAGGGACTGTGTCGGCCACACACATTCTCTCTATCATAAGGTAGTTCACAAGTTAAACGAGAGATCATGCGTCATTTCAAAATGTTTCTATTTCAATTAGTTCATAGTTCAAAATGTGATTACGCTGAAGCAAAGACAGAAGTCAAGAAGTTGGGAGTACATGTAGATATAGGATTACCAGACACAAAAAATGGAAAAGTACATCATCAGAAATATGGATTACCACATTTTTACCCTATGCAGACTTGTATTTAATAATAAATTTAACAGCTGCACATAGATCAGTAGAAGGCAAGTGTTACCATTCAGAAAGCTAGCCTGTACTCTAAAAAGGAAGTCTGTTTTTCTAATGGTGAAAGTTGGCAAATTTACCGTCCTACTCCACTTTTTCCACAAAGAGAAAAGAGAAATGGTTTCATTTATTGCTATCCTAAACAGCTTTTCCATTCTATGCCCCATTCACTTTCCAAATGTGGTTTTACCCTTATCTTTAGAATTTTTGTGTTTTCAAAAAGGAAATACCACCTTTTTAAAGAATTTTTAAATATACTGAAATAAACCAAGTGGTTATTCTTTCATTTTAGGGTGTCCAAATAGAACTGAAATCTTATAACCTTAGTCACAGGTATAACAAGTTTAACATACTAGTAATTTTTCACATGCCAATGTAAATAACAGTACCCAATTTATAACACACTATAAAAATAAACTACAAGGTAATTTAATTTTGTTTCATATATTGCAAAGAGACATGATGTTCCTATAAATTTTTTAAATGAATCCTGTAGAAGTGATGTATTACATGTCTCCAACCCAAGAGAATGATGCCTCTTATATAAATTTTTAAATCTCATCCTCTTAACGTATATAAGGAAAGATAGTAACTGCTTAGTGTAATTATGAAATGGTAAATCATGCTACTTGGAGAAAATCTAGCATCTTGGAGCATTATTTAGACTCCAAGGCTACAATCAAACAGGCTTTATGTATTTATCATTTTGACTCTCCTTTTATTTCAGGCATATATTCAAAAATTGGAATAATAAATAC